CTGAGTATTTAGATTTATCGAAGCCAGGAAACATGTAAAATCATCTGTGACCTCGACGGGATTCAGTCCTCGGATTATTCTGTTTCCGACTGGACGTACCAACCATGACAGCATAATTAGAGGAATCTGATTTCTTTCCCTTACCTAGCCCTACACTTAAAGGGTTATAATCGACTAAATACAGACAGTAACTTGTTATCATCTACAACATGTTCAGTTTGGCCAACATCGTAAAGACAATTTTAAATGTTTCGAAGCCAAAGAACGTAATAAATGAACTGAGCTCTTGCTGGAATTCGAACCACAACATTCACATTTATAGCCGAATGCGCTAACCATGAGAGGAAAACACCATGACAACGCGAGCGGAAATAGGATAACTCTTTTCAGCTCACTTTTATTTACAAATTGGCGAACAGCATGTTAGAATTTTTCAGGGTTATCAATTTCCATTGAACTTGGACTGAAAAGGTCATAGGTCCCAGAGTTAGTTTGATTAGAGTTAATCCCAGAGTTAGTCTCTTTCAGAAAAATAAAACCACACAATGCTATTTTTATAGATTCCGAATGTATTTGAATTTCTTATCAATAGATATTTATTCGGATTTTTTATACTTTTATTTATTCGGATATTTTATACTAAGTTAGTTTTAAAATCACTTCAGAAATAGTTTAGTGGAATATAAAATGTAAATTATTGGAAAGCTTGCAACACCTATAGTCTTTGATTTATTCAAAAACTGGATATGGAAAACTGTTAGAATGAATACACAAATAAAATCAGTATAATTATTTTGCAAAAAGTTTCAAAATTTTAATTAAAAATACTTTTAATTACAAAAGAAACACGCAGATCCCATGAATATTTGATGTCAGATGAACTAATTTGTTGCGAAGAGATTATAGCCAGTTTATATTCTAGCCTTCAGATACAGAAAACTTGAAATTGTTCATATTTTAAACCTATTTTACACGTAATGCACGTTTTGAAAGGCAGAAATGCATTTTTAAAAATTTTTTAATATGGTTTTATACACGTAGAAGTACATTTATTATAAGTAATGACAAATAAGCTGATAAATTAATAATATTAATTATTATTTATTTATGGAAATCTCTAAGGCAAGCTATTACTTAAATACAACTAAAAGTGTATTTTCGAAATGTTTGACAAAAATCCCTGAGAAATTTAAAAGAAGAATGACTATACTAGGAGAAAGAATTTTTGACATGATAAAACTATGATGTAGTATAAACAAAAACAAACAAACAGTAAACGAGCTACTTTACATAACCCACAATTTATCGGGTAAAATAAAAGATAGAGTAAGAGAAAGACTTATAAACAACAATATAGGAAGCTTAAATATAAATGAGGGGTACCGAAACTTTCAGGAAATCTTATATAAAAATATTGAAAAAAATTAATGACAGAGAAACAAACCTGATAAAGTGAAAGTAATTTTCAAAGCATAAAAATTAATTGGTGTTTGAAAGGGGAATTATTAGAAATTTTAGAAACAGAAAAATAAAAATATTTTGTTCAGTCAAAATTATATTTAAATCAAATTTAACACTGATTCAAAATTATAACAGAATCCAAAATCTTTGAAGATGTTTTAAAAATAATCTAAAAATTTAATGAACTGCATTATATAGAGAATTTAGGATATTTCGTTAAAACCATCAAATAGATTTTCAGCAATTTTTAAGTTTATACTTTCGTGTAGAATTTCCTTAGTTAGAAAAATCCTTAAATTCTTGAAGAAGAGTTAAAATGTAGACGTTTTAAGGTTGCCAACAACGAAGAAAATGTTTCTATTAACAAAAATGTTCTTTTAGTGAAGATTCATGTTTTTTCTTAAAAAAAATGTTGGAAAACAGTTTCCATAATCGTTATTCCTAATGCAAAGAAATGAACTACAGTTAACAAAAAATGCTAAATGACGAGAAAAGATCAAGAAAAAGAAGAATCATTACAAGAATATCATATAAATAAAATGTTGCTGTTATGGCTTAAAAATTACGTCAAACAGAGTGAAACACTATTTTTTTCCCTTCCATTTAGACAAAATGGCTTTTGTTTTGAATGTTTTCTTTCCTGGATGAAAATAAATTTTGCTTTGTGAACAAAATATGTAAAAACAATTATAAATGTTTATTAAATAATATTTTAGCCTAATTCATATTTAATATATTTTCAGCCAATGCAATACAACATGCCGTAAAGTCACAAAAAGAAAATACTGCTTACCGTTATGTAAATCAGTTAATGCTTATAATGGAAATTTTTGCTATATTGGAAAGAAAGCAAATGAGGAAAATTAAGTAAGGAGAAAATGATTTGCACTTTGTTTTCAAATGCCTTTCACTTAATTAAATTTTATGTTTATTAAAACATGTTATTTGAATTGCTAAATTAAAATATTCAATAATTACTTATTATTTTAAGTTTCTGCTTGCAATTTACGGTAATTTCGCAACTTACCGTATTTAAAGCTTTTCTTAACAGTAATTTATTACAAATGAAAACTTTTTAACCGAAGATTTTGATGTTGTAAGATATGCTGATGCTACGTGAAGATAATTTGTTTGAAAAGGGAATGTGTAAAAGAAATTTTATTATATAATGAATGACGACTAAATTTATATAATGACTAACTATTAATAATAGGAGCACCGGAAAGTAATGTAGTTTCTGCGCATGTCCGACAACAACATGCTAAGGGCAGAAGTGGAAGCAAATTCATGTCAAACACTCTTAACCAAACTTGGTCGACCATCCAAGAACATTTAAAGTAGAATGGAAAAATAAGCAAAGCAGGTGTTTGAATCCCCCATAATCTGTCCGAAGAGAACAAAGCCAACCGATCCATCACATGGCAATGTATTGCTTCAACGGCACAATACAGAACCGTTTTTTGATCATTTGATTACTGGAGACGAAAAATGGGTCCTATGTGATAAATATAAACCTCTTTTCCAAGCAGAAAGACGTTTAGAGCTCGCTATTTCATTTCATGTAATGATACACAATATTAAATTTGCTGTCCTGAGCAACGGAATTTAACTTTGTACCGCTGAAATTAGGAACTGGAAAGTTCCTGAAATGTTGCAAAATAAAAGGAGAAAGCATATTTCAAATGATAGTGTTATGCAGCCCTGAGGATTAAAAAATGAAATTATTCTGGCGTTACGGAAAATAAACATATCACTGATACGAACGCGACTTCACAATGCTTATTTTGAGAACACTCACAATATTTATTTCTTACCCTTTTAGAACAGCTGCAGTCATGTTAAGTTGTCGTCACTTTAGAGCGCTGACAGAATAACATAGCTTGAAGGTTAACAGAATTTGGGAAAGAATTTCGAAAGAAAATGATACGTTCAAAATGCAATTCATGTTATGTTAAACAAATCGAAAAGTATTCACCGAAAAATGTAAATGCTTTTAGCTTTAAAGGGAACAAAAAATTTAGTTAACTGTTTTTGCTTGTGGAAATGATCTACTATGTAAATAAAGCCATTAGTACTTGTAAACTGGATTATATACCTTGTTGAAATCTTTCTTATAAGTTTGCGATAGAGTAAATTTTACTTATAAATGGCTATATCATTTGCCTACATATTAACCAATTGATGAAAAATTCAATAATGTTGAAGCCTAAATCTCGTATTCAAATATAAAGTAATTCCATTTGATAAACATCCCTAATTGAGAAGGGAAAACATTGAATTATACATTTATAAGAAAACGACTTAGCATATTGTTGCTCTTGTGTCCTCGCACAGTACAACGACGATTTTAGGCACCTAAGAGAAGATGCCACCAAAGGCAGCATGTAGATAATTATTGTCTTTATTTCTATTCAATCCATTCTTGGGCATCATGAATACGTGTTCTTTGTTTCTTACTTTCATCGGACGCCAAAAAGACTTGAACCAAAATTAATATTTGTTGTTCGATGTGTTAGCACACGGATTTTAACCTTCTACGGAAGCTTTCATTCTCTATTGGAGCAGGCTGGCAAAACAAAACTTGCAAGTACAACGAGCTTCTGTGTCTTCTCAGAGCTTTTTAAGGAAATATTTTATATACTACAATAAACATCTTCATCAAGATGCATAAATATTCAAGGTATAAGATACAACGCTTTCATTTGTTTCAATTATTCATTCTTCAAAAATAAAAAAACAGAGTTTTTCTTTGAGACTGAAGATTAAAAAATAGCATATAGCCTCGAAAATAATCATGGCATCTGATTCTTAAGAAAAACGAAATATAGATGATGTTAATTAAACATTTCTGTAAATTATTATAATCTATATATTGTCGCTGACATTAGCATTCCGTATTGGAGGGCTAAACCATAACTACAACTTCTGTATAAAGTAGACGATTTAACAGACTCTAAAATTAGCTGTCATTTAAAATTTTTGATTTCTCTGGTATTTCTTATTAATCTTTTATCCAAAAGTTTCAAATATTGAAACAGAAAATTCGTGACAAGGTGTACATCATTGAACTTTCGATGCTGCAGATTGTCAATAAAATCAGCTTGAACTATATATAAAACGTTACTGAATGCTCTTAGCACTAATATGTTACACAGCTTGAAGAAATTTAGTTTTACAACATTACATTTGTTTTTAACTGAAGATATTTTTAGATTTGAAAGAAGGAAACATATTAAATGAAATTATTTGATTCTTCATTGTTAATAATTTGCTTTGACATTTAGAAATTCGCTAAGCTTAAATATAGAAACAAACATTCTTGATAATACAATTATTCGAATTCTTCAAATCAACTGCTTTTAAAGTTTTAAAGCAGTAACAGCTTAAATGAAATTAATGAAATGAGAGAGGCAGACTTATCATTATAATCCTGAAAACGTAAATGACTAATAATTCAATACATTTCGCGATGATGTCTCTATTTTAAGGTATAACTCTGTCATCATATATTTTTATGATTCACAGTTATTAGTAGGAAATATACCCTTGATTTTTCCAATAACCCATAATGAAGCTCATTAGTTTAACAGCATATGTAACAATATCTTTCGTGTAAACACAAATCCGAAATGAGTTTGAAAATCAACGGATAATCTTGGTCTTTTGAAGATTCACTTTTGAACTGATATCAACAACTCTGTAACAGCATCTAGAGTTAGTTTTTATTTGGTAATGCATCTCAAATATCCTACAATTTGAACAATATACTACCACATTATCCTTACGAGAGCCTGTTGTACTCAGAAATTATTTCTGTGTCTCTAACTCTTCGAATAAAGGCAATGAAGATGAAGTAGGTAAAGAACAGCATATTCTTATTTGAAGTTCAAATGAACTAGAGGTCCAAAGCGTCTAAATAAACTGACCAATAGGCAGTGTTTAATATCACAAAAGAGAGAGGAAACAAAACTCTTGATATTTTATCGATGAGAATGGCGCGATTACGATGCCTGTTGTGGCGATACGTGGAGGAAATAGGTTTTGGCTTAGTCCCATTTGGTAGTTGAGGCGTTCCTTCCTGCAAAGAACAAAAAAGAAGAAATATTGATAAGTCCGTAGAATAGCTAATAGATATCAGCACATCGCCATTAGAGCACATAAATATGATAAAATACTTTGTTAAAGAACATGCAAACAATATCAGATCAAAACGTAGAACGATAAGTCATCGTGTGGCAACACTTGCATATCTACTTTAAGAATGCAGAAATTTAAGGATGATGATTGAAGGGTCAAGTATCTTTAAAATATCAGGATATGCCAAAATTTTTAATATAGTTTAAAGCTCAATATACGTTTCAAGCTAAATGGTTTATGACCAGGAAATTTTGCATACCTATTCCGATATCTTCGATATTGCATTTGCATTGTATTTGGATTTGTATATCCTCGATATGGTTTCTAAACATTATGCATCAGACATTAAAATATTTCAAACAAAATTGCAATAATAAGATACTTTTTTTACTTCCATGTACGAAGTAAAGGAAGTATTGTAATCACGAAAAATTCCGCGTACCATATTTCAACAAAAATATAATTTTTTCCCGCTATCGAATGCAATTTAACGATGTTTTTGCGTGACATCTGTACGTAAGGACAGAATAAAAGACTCTTTTCTCCCAAACGAATTATAAAACTGATTTATAATGGATTCAGAAAAAGATTTTTTCGTGGCATCTGTAAGTACGTATGTATGTATATGTATCTCGCATAACTCAAAAACAAATAGCCACAGAACGTTGAAATTTCATATGTGGGACTGCTGTAATATGTGGATGTGAACCTACCTTTTTGGTTGCAATCAGCCGAACCAAAAGCACATAAACAGATCTATATATATTTCCGCTCTGTTACTCGGCTCAGTGAGCTCAGTTTCTTAATTCTTATATGTTTGTAAATTGTGTATTTTTGTGCTTTAAAAACGATTGAACTATGTTGTTCTTATCTTCCTGTTCAGGGTTTTATGACTTTAATTAACCTGCATGTTATAGTTGTAGAACTATCAACAATTTAAAAGTTATTTAAGTGCAGCTAAGCCTAAATTTTCTTACCACAGCAACCATATTTCTTTGCATTTGAAACTTAGCAGAGTAGTGGTTTAGTTGCCAATTTAGAGAAATTAAGCTTTGCAGCAACAAAATAATGTCTTCTTTTAATACTGCGAATTAAAATCCATACTGGAATTATCATTTAAGTTAATAAACTATCTCATATATTGACTCTGCATAGCGTTCACACGTCACTGCATAGCCACGTCATTTTGAAGTCAGTTTCTACGGCTTCAGTGTCTTTGTGCCGGAAGACCAAACGCAAACTGTCAGTTTTGTGCACCGAAAAATCTGCCTTTTTTGTCCGCTGTCCGAATTGCTTGCTTTTGCGTTGAAACTGTAATTTTATTGTAAAAATGTTTTTAATTGTTTTAACTGTATTTGGTGCTTTATGTTTTTCTATATCTTTCTATTTTTAATATAGATATTTTGAGTTTTTATGTATTTTTACCTTGTCGCGAAGTGGGAACTGCATTAATTGAATGAGAAATGTATCTGTAATGAAATTCGAAGAAATAACTTTAAATGAAATAAAAGAAAAGATGCATATAATTTAATATTCCGTACAAGGAAGTCATGTGGTGAACATCATATTTTTTATCTGAGAATGCAGAATCGACTATTCTTTTAACAAATTTATGGGAGAGAAGCGTAATAATGAGTCAATTTATATACCTATAGAATTTAAAGAATTGATCAAAACTTCGGTTTTAGAAAATCGAGAAGGAATAAAGATTTTAGGAATCTTAATTTAAAACTATAATTACATTCGAATCCTGAAAATGCGCAAAATTTTCTTAAAATTAAGCGGGAATGATTAAAATATATTTATCCTTTAAATTTGTAACTAAGTATAATGATATAGTTAACCAATATTACATACTTAATTATCATAGTTTTATGAGATAATGGACGTTTCAAAAGTGACGATTAAATGACGATTCAAAATTTTCAAACGATTACAAATTAAATAGAGTTCTAAAAGACCTTGTATCGGAAACACAATATTTGGTCATTTTACACAGATAAAATGTCAATGCAATTTTTTAAAGTTCTTGAAATATAATCAGCCGGATCAAAGAAATCTTGCGCTCGAGCAAGGAAATAACATTTTTATGAAATCTTAGCTAAGAAACTACACTTTGCATTACTACTTTATCTTAACTAAAAACTATTTCTAAGCATATTACTTCCTTAAAATTAATAAAACATAGATAGATATAAACTATTGAATTAAATTTTTGGTAATATTTAACTATATATTTGTATAAAATTATGTAGAGAAAAATTTTATATGTTGTTAAAGGAATTTAATACGTGGAATTTGCTGAAATCCAAGCTTAAGATCAGTCTGACTGTTTAAATTGTAAAAGTTTAGGATTATGTTTTATCATAACTTTGGTTCTAGAACGAAATTTTACATGAAATTTGATTAAAAATACTCGTAAGGTAATAATATTTGATATACAAAGTTTGATTGAAGTTACAAGATTTTGTTTCTTGAATTATTTAAATGTACTGATTCCTTTATAAATCTTAGAATTATGTAATTAAAAAATGTGCAAAATTTGAATATAATTTGATATGTTATTAAATTTTATGTAATTACTATAGTACAGCGATTTTGAAGTTAGTAATTATTAATAACTTTAGAATATTTATTAAAAATGTAATAAATTTTGTAGAAAACCTTATTAGTAATTTAATAAATTTTGAGTAGAACTTCAAACATCCAAACTAAACTGAAAGAAACTCTTCAGGTATCCAAAACGTTCGAACGATATGGTGAATTTCCTTCTGTAATATGTTTAGGAAAATGCTATAGAAGAAATTTAAAATTACACTGATCGTATTTAATTTTCAAGAAAAGTTATAAAATTAAACAAATAAAATATTTTATTTCCATAGCCTAAAATTCAAAATATTAACAAGGGAAAAATATTACAACAACGTAAATGAATTAATAACAAGCTCCATTTTACGTAGGCTATTTTTTTTCAACCTCCGATTGGCTATAAAGAAAACACGGATGAATATACAAAAAAAGATTTTATTACCAAAAGTAATGTACAATACAGGTTATTTCTCTACATAATCACCTTAACGATCGAGGCAATTTTGATATCTGTGAACAAGCTTTGAAATACCCTCTTCATAAAATGTTCCCGATAAAGATTGAAAGAGAGTTGTGGCGGTTTCTTTGAGCTACACGTCATTTTGAAAGCGCTTCCTCCCCCCCATGCCACTGCTTCAGTTTAGGGGAAAGATAGAAGTCACTAGGCGCTAGGTCGGAACTATATGGGTGTTCGAAAATGTCCCACTGAAATTGCTGAAGGAGCGCTGTGAGGGCGAGCATTGTCGTGGATCAGAACAATTCCAAAAGTCGGCATATCTCTTTGTTTGTTTTGAATAGCTCTCCGTAAGCGTCGCAAAATTCCACAATATGAATCCGCATTAACTGTTGTTCCAAGCTGCATAAAATCCACAAGCAACACACCTTTTTGGTCCCAAAAAACAGTTGCCATAACCTTACGGTTGTTGAAGGTTGGTTTGAATTTTGTGGTTCCCTTTGGAGAATTTGTGTGCATCCATTGTTGTGATTGTCGTTCCGTTTCTAGCATGTCACATTGAATCAATGTCTCATCAGCTGTCACAATGGATTTAAAAAAAATCTTCTCCATCAGTATTGTAGCGGTCAAGAAACTCCAACGCTGCAGCCATTCGGTGAGTTTTGTGGTCGTCAGTCAATATCTGTGGGACACAGCGAGCGCAAACTTTTCTGTTGCGTAACTTCAATAGCGATAGAGCACAGGGAAGATCTTGAAACTTCAGGAAATTTCATCGCTAACTCACTTATGGTGAACCTTAGTTTCCTTAACCGCTTGGTGAACTGATTGAAAAATGCCATTTGTAGCGACAGACTTGCATCCTTTACCCCCTTCACCATGCACCAACAGTTCGGCCATCTTTAAACTTTCGACATCATTCGCGAATAACGCCATCACTCATTAAGCTGTCGCCATACACACCACTCATTCTTCGATGAATTTCCGCTGCACTCCCTTCTGCCTGCAAGAAACGAATAACAGCTCGCAATTCACACTTGGTGGGAGAATCAATAACTACAGTCCTGCTTACGTGACAGCAACTCAACAGGAAATAGCGTGTTGAACTCGCCAGTGACACAGCGTGCGGAGGGGGAGATGCGAAGTCGCCTACTACGCACACCAACAACCTGCCGCATGCCTGGCCATCATACTGTGCGATTGGAGGTTGAAAAAAAAAAAAAAAAAAAAAAACCCTCTTATGTGGTTTAGAAAAATGACAAGTAACTTGGATAACTGGAATAGACTTTCTATATACCTGCAGTTATGCTACACTCATGATGTTTCTTTCTAAAATTCAATATTTGTAAAGACAATAACGCTAAGTAAAATTTATTTTGGATTTTAACATTTTTAAATCTAAGCAAAGCACTATTTTTTTACATTTTGCATGAGCTAAAGTAGCCTGATATTATTGTGTACGCAAACGCAGCTGTGCTTTGGCTATTACTTTATCGCTCGTAACAACTCACAAAGAAATTTTAAACTTTCTAATCACTGAGTTTTAGATAAGATAGCTTATGAAATTAAAAAAAAATACCTGTGTTTTAGGCACGACGACTACATTGCGCATATTCTTCACTGCACACTTTGGTTGCTGCACTTGCTGCTGCTGTTGTTGTTGTTGCTGCTGTTGTTGTGTTTGCTGTTGCTGCCTGTTGCTTTGTTGGTTTTGCTGTTGCTGTTGCTGTTTGCTGTTGCTTTGCTGTTTTGTGTTTTGCTGCTGTTGTTGTGTTTGCTGTTGTGATCTTTCCTTCTGAGTTTCCCTGTTTGCTGCTGTTGTTGTGTTTGCTGTTGCTGCTGTTGTTGTTGCTGCTGCTGTCCGCCTTCCTCCTCCTCATCTGCTCCTTCTCCGAGAAGGATGTTTACTAACGCATATTCCATTAAGGATGCGAAGACGAATACTGTACAGGAAGACATGAAAATATCAATGGCTTTGATGTATGACACCGGGGGCAGGGATTTCTGGGATTGTGCGTGTTGTGTGGACAGAGTAAGAAGGGACGTGACACAGAGGGTGACACGGGCAGGAACAGCTTCCGGCTTGATCCAAAAGGATATCCAAGACATGATGACGATGAGGCAGGTGGGAATGTAAGTGTGAAACATGTAATATCCCAAACGTCGCTTCAGAGTGAAGATCACTTGAATGCATGTAAAATTACCTGTTCAGACAGAAGAAGATAAGATCCATTGATTTTTTGGAGAAATGAACAATTAAACGGAATTAATTACAATTCACAGCAGAATCTGTCTGTATATTTTATTTGGGTCATAATGTATTGGTATTTAATTTAAAAGTACTGAAACTCTCATTTTAAGCATCTTGAGAAAATTTATTGTTAAAATTACTTCGATTTCTGAGTTTTAAAATCTCAGATTTCAAACATTTCCCACAAAACGCTGTTCACCAATAAAGTATGACTATATTGAATTATTACGTATTCATAATTTTCTTCTTAAAAATAGTCCAAGCCAATTTATTAATTTATAGTCCAAGCCAATTTTAGTGAACTAATTTATTTTAAATTTGTATTGAAAGACAACTTTCACCTTTGAGAAACAAATGTAAACAAACTACTTAAAACAGCTAGTGTAACATTTTCTTGCATTAAGAAATTTAGTTGAAATAGAAAAACCAGATTTTAGCTAAAAGAAAGGCCTTTTTGTTTTTTCCAAGAATCAGATTACATGTAGTCCTCGATTTATGACCATATTAGTGATATCTGATATTAACGGCTGCAAAAACAAAGACCGCGTTTGGAATTTTATGGACAAGCTATATGCAATAGCTTTTAGTTTTGTTTGGCTGTCTAACAGCCCATGCGTTAATAATGCATTACTTATTTTGTTAGTATAATTTAGAAACTTGTGTATGGCAACACTACTAGATATTCAAGTTTGAGAACGATGTAAGAACGCGAGGAGCGTCATTGATTTCTTTCGTAACAATAAAGTTTGTTTTCGTTGAAACTGATTCTATTGTATAAATAATCACCGCAGTTATAGTGTTTTAATGACAGAGACTATTTTGAAATTTATGATGCGAGTCTTTAATTAAAGGCTACTTTGTGTTGAAGTGTGATTTATGATTTTAAATACTGTAAGCTGAAAACGTCGGTGATACTTTTTCTTGTACGCTTTAACACCATGCATGATTTTGCAAGAGAAATGTAATTCAATCAATTCAATTACCTGTTGAATACACTTTTGTGCAATCACCAAGAGTTGAGTCCACTAAATTGTGCTGCGGAAGCTCTATGGCGTCATCTACCACAAGAGGCACTTCTTCCTCCCAATCAAAAATTAGATCATCCGTAGTATATGACACTAAAGTAACAAAAAAAGTAGCATTTTTATAAATTTCTGTATAATGTATTCTCTGAGAGGAGCTAAATTGAATTAAATTTTGATCTAAATTGCTCTTTGTATTAACATTTAAGACTTTGGCGTTTCAGAGATGATAAAAAGTGTGTCGAGCTACCTATTCTAGAATATTTTAAACGGATAGTAGATAATACATAATTTAGTCACTTAAATAAAATATCAGCATGAAAACGATACATAAAATGAAATACAGAAGGAAACATCAGCAAAGTTTTAAGAACAGGCTTTACCTAAAAATAAATTAAATGTATTGGGTTGGAAAAAAATGCTCTTGTTTAAAATTATTTATACAATATTTATTACAAATATAGGGCTAAGTATCGACTAAATTCATTACATTACAAGCAAGCAAAAGTAACTGATTTTTGCTTGATATTTTAAAGCGTCACAGGTGACTTACATTTTGATTACCACGCAGTATGTCTAAACAGAGAATAGAATTCTGACTTGAATTTATTTTTCTTCCTGTCTGAGAATGTAAACACATTTTCGTAAAAAAGGATTTAAATACACGAGCTGTTTTCAGTTCATGAAATCTATTGCCCTCAATGGTTATGCCAAATAGGTACTACTACAGCATGTTCGACGTCTAGACGATCGTTCGAGTGAGCGTCCAGGTTAAATTAAACATAGTAACAAAGAGATATAGGTTTTTATTTTGCATTAATTAGTGAGAATTCCAGCAAATAGCTCGTCTGCAGATGGTATAGTGCAGTGTGTCCAGTCTTTAGTTACCCGAGGGCCAATCAAATATATAGGAGAATGAGGGCCAGAGACATTAAAGAAAGTGAATACATATAAATCACTAGTTTAATATATCACTTTATTTTACAGTTTAGAAATCAATGTGATGATTGGCACTGCTTTTTTGATACAAGTTTATCAATGTCCACTATAATTTCAGTAAGGCAAAGTCTCAGGCTCGATTCCAGTGAAGCACTTTCTATGTGATTTCTCGTTTTTGATTTAATTTGTTTGAGAGCTGAAAAGCACTTTCACACACATATGTACTGCCAAAGAACGATAACATTTACAAAAAGAATTTATGCAGTTATAGAAAACGTTCTTTAGAAATCAGTTTCCAGAAATGTTCAGTGACATCACACTTTTTAATCTGGTAGAATGGATCAGCATGAAGATCACAAATTTCCATTTAAAGGTCGCAAGGCACTTAATTCAATCTTCGTGGGGTTGTTTAAAAGTGAAATTTTTGTTTTTTTGGGAGTCAAAATCCTGGAACTCTTTCTTGATATCAGTAATTATTTCATGTAACATATTAAAATTTGTGTCATTTTCTTCTTTCGGCTGCTGGCAAAATGGGAAGTGTGCCATATTATTTGCCTTTAGTGCAATTTGCATTACATTAATTTTTTTGCGAAAGCCATCAATATGTCCATAAAGCTTGGGATATGTATTTTTTTCTGCCTTGCAGTTTTAAAGCATTTAGATGAGATATTAAATCTGTCAGAAAAGCAAGAGTATTTAAAAAGTGGATTTCTTCCAGTTTTACTTAATACTTATGGCCAATGTTTTCTTTTTTGAAGAAATCAAGAATTTCATCCTCAACCAAAAAAACTGTTGCAGACAATTTCCAGCACTTAGCCAGCGCACTTCAATGAAATGTCACCGAATTGTCCACAAATGCAATAAGTGCTCTCTGCTTCTGGGCTTTGCATCCCTTTGTTAAATTTACAGTATTTACAAGTTTTCATTGTCTCACTGAGCCGTATAATATTTATTATTTTATTATTATATTTAATATTTACTATTTTATTATTATATTTAATATTTATTATTTAAAGCAGTAAGAAGGGTCTTTTGTTTTTCAAATGTTTAACTATTATTTTTTTCCCAGTAAGAAGGGTAAGTAATGGCCAACAAATTGAATAAGAGGGCCGCATGCGGCTCGCGGGAGGCGGGTTGGACCACACTGGTGTAGTGGTTAGTGACGTTGAGTGCAGTAGCGAGCCTGAGCTCGAATCCCGGAGAAGGCATTCAAAATACTCTATGAATGAAGGTCTTCTCGAGTGATTCATATGGTAAGGGAGACCTCCGAGCAGCCTACCGGGGTGTCCTCAATCGAAATCGGGGCGAAGCTGCATGGTTAGCATAGAGGGTTTAGACCCGTGTAACCTATGCTGAGTTCTGGTTTCCCGCCCACTTATACCTGCATAAAGTCAAGATTATTATATCTTGTTTTTGAATTATATGAGTGTTATTGAAGAAACCTCACTGAAATTTTAAATTAATTTAAAACATAATATTAAGATAACGAAATTATTTAAATTCATAATTCAGTTCTATTCCATTAAAGTCTTAGAAGACAAGATTAATCTAAATTTATAGACGCGAAACTTCTAAAGAAAAAAAATTGTTTAAAACTTTTTACGATGAAAAAACTAAGAAATTGCATAAAAGCAATTAAAAATAAAATTTACTGAGAAAGCTTAAAAAGGTGTCTTAAAAGTAATTCGCACGCTTTTAGGATGAAAAAAGAATAATATTACTGACGTCATTAAACAAGAAATATAATTAATTACACATAACAAAAATCATTCTTTTTTTAACTACCAGGCAGGTAAATAACCCTCACCAGTTTTATTGCATTGAATTAAAAAAACAATAATTGCAAAGTATAAAAGAGAGAAGTGAAGAGACGACGTTTTTACTGCGGTTTAGAGTTAATTTAAAGATAAACTTTCCAAGAGATTTAAATGGAAATGTCACTATAAAACATCTTAAATCACTTCATATAAGAAGTCACTCGATTTCTTGTCTCGTGAGAATTTAAAAAGGAAGCACTTATAGTATTCTTACTGTTTCCTCAGCAAAGTAGGAAGATACAAGGTATGTATTCCTTCTGAAGCAGATTAGAGTATTAAACTAATTAAGAATTATTAAATCATTAATTATCACGTAATTTTTGACATTTTAGAGGGAAGAATTGGAAAAAAAAAAAAAAAAAAAAAACAAGAAAACAAGAAAACTTATGCTGTGGTTGTTTCGCCAACTAAGACTCAAGAAATGAAAACAAGATTAAAAAAATTTACATAGTATTGCTGTAATTGAAATAACTATGTTTGAAAACGTAAATGTAAGGAAAAGATGGCAAGTTACAATCGCTTAAATTTCATGCAGCATGAATCTAATTCTGAAATTGCAAAGAATGTTTTCGAAAATTTAATTTTATTACACGAAATACTTTTTATTGGTGCAAAATACCTTTGTTTCAAATACCCGAACATTACCAACGAAATGCATTTGTTCGGGACTAGCTAATATCCGTCAATTACTTAGTCGTCTCATTCAAGTCCGTTAGCCTTTAACTTGAGTCGTATCCGAAGATCTCTTAGCCCTTTTCTCCTACCACCATTCTTCTCGCCAGTATTTTGAGCGTCCTCATGCCAGACAGACACTGGACATTTACATATTGTTCATGTATTTTCCTGGATTCGAAGCTGGAGTAGCATCGATACCCAGAATAACAGGAGCAACAACGATAAGGCAACCAGCAGCTACACCGATTAGGACAGATACAGAATGTTATTTGTGTTATTTTCTTGAAAAGCATGACTTAAGAAGATGAGGCATACCAAAAATCGTTGACGGATCGATATGTATCTTTCCTAACTTACCGACTGTCCTGTCGACGGATAAAATTTTCTTGGTTTAGCTGACTACAGCAAAGCACACTAGAACTCAAAATCGTAAAAACACGACAAGGAATAAAAACAATAAAATGGACAACAATAAAATGGAAGCACGACAAGGTCATTAATATTATTTCTAACAGTGGAATGTCTTCTTTGATGGGAATCTGAAAATTTTTTACGGCTTTATCAATAATCACGGGAGAAAATACACTGTCAATCGCAACTGCTCTCAAATATTTAAGTTCATTGGTAAGCAAAGATTCAGAGAAAGGGAAGGGCATTGTTGGATTCAATTTCAAGAGTGAATTGGATGGCTGGATCAATTGAATTCATAATAGGTAGAATCTCGGATAAATCCTCTTTATAACCGTCAAAAAGTGCGAAAGTGTCGTCAACATACCGAATCCAAAGACGAAAAGATAGTTTATCAAATAATTTCATCTCAAAATAGTGCATATAAATGTCAGCAAGTACCGGACTGAGAGGATTACCCATAGCCAATCCTTCAACTTGACGAAAATATGCATTTTGTAAAACAAAGTGGGTTTGAATTAGAGAAACTTTAGTAAGCGAAACCAACTCATTAATTTCAGTATGTGTGAAGTGAAATTCTCGAAGCCTAGTATAAGCCTAGCATAAAGCCTAGCGCAATTAGCTCTTCCAAAAGTCCACAAAACCGGTATTCCTTTTCGACCAAATGTTTCCAACACAGGTACTGCTTCATATCCTTTGGCCAAATATTTAGTTTCCAGATTTTCTCCTCTACTTGCTAACAATATTCACACTGTAAAAAATTCTGTTGAAGTCATTGATAAACTTAAAACTATTTCTCCACTTCGTTCCATTATGGTTTCATTTGATGTCAAATCACTGTTTACTAATGTTCCGGTCGAAGGAGCACTAAATTGTCTTGAAACTAGGCTTCGGGAATTTCACTTTACACATACTGAAATTAATGAGTTGGTTTCGCTTACTAAAGTTTCTCTCAGTCAAACCCACTTTGTTTTCCAAAATGCATATTTTCGTCAAGTTGAAGGATTGCCTATGGGTAATCCTCTTAGTCCGGTACTTGCTGACATTTATATGCACTATTTTGAGATGAAATTATTTGATAAACTATCTTTTCGTCTTTGGATTCGGTATGTTGACGACACTTTCGCACTTTTTGACGGTTATAAAGAGGATTTATCCGAGATTCTATCTATTATGAATTCAATTGATCCAGCCATCCAATTCACTCTTGAAATTGAATCCAACAAGTCACTCCCCTTCCTTGATATTTTTATAATC